TGTGTGGCATGGACACTGTCCTTTAGAATATTTCTCCTTAAAGGAATCTATCTTTTACGACTTTGGGCAGATTTTTAAAAAAAACATGATGTATTATTCTCATAAATGGAGCACCACCAAAATTACCTGGAATCCAATCTTAAAATTCACATCCACCACCCAACCTGCGAGAGCCAGCTGTTTCCTGAAGAGCCCCATGTGGCTACATATATGGGTAGTGAGCTCTTAAGGTGCTAGTCACCTATTTTTCCTAAAATATATTAGGACTTAACGTACCATTAAAATAAAAACGCTTGTGCCTTCCTTAAAATCACCTTGCATGCAGAAGTGCACAAAGCACATAGGGAGTGACGATCTAGTCCAAGAGCTGACACATAATGGCGTTTGGCCCATTTTTGTATCGACCATGAATTATGAATGATTTGTATTTGTAAAAGATTGTGTTTTTAAAGAAGTGGAGGGAGAAAAAAGAGGAAGGAGAAAAAGGAGATGATGATCGTGCAACCGAGGCCTCGTGTGGCCACAAAGCCTAAACTATGCACCACCTGGCCCTGCAGATGCCCCACTTGTGGAAGCCCTGATAAGTCCGTCCCTTTATTTGACCACAGGGCAACTCAAGTCCTAATACACCGAACATCTCAGAGGCACCTGAACATGTCTCCAGGCTTCTGAGCAAGTGAAGGAAGATTACCCAGAAGCCACCAGCTTACATGCATCAAAACGGGTCTCTGTCCAGTCAGTCTGATTCCATTTTAAGAGCTGACTCTTGCCTACAGCAAACAGAAATGTGGGCTGCACAACTCACCTGACTTGTTTTGTCCTCAGCTCAGCTGAGGGCTCCTGGCTCTGACCTGGCTCTGTGCCCCATGCCTGAAATTGCATCCTGTTTGCCTCCAGGGCCACTCCCTGCTTCTGCCATCCCCACAACAAGGCCCCACTGTGTGCATCCCGAGCTCTCTTGGCACCGGCAGGGAGGAGTGAGGTGAGGGAGGACCCTCTGCCGGCCCTTCACACAGCCAGCTGCAGCCTCAAAACCATCACTTTCCCTCAGGCCGAGGGTGTTAGAAGTGGTCAGGGCCCCCTCACTGCTCCAAGCTGTCAATACCCTGCCTTGCTTTGTAAACAGTCACTTTATTTAAACTCACCTCAAACTGCCCAACCTGAGAATGCACTCTGTTCCCTGCAGGACCCCTGATGACAACAGCCTTAGAGGCAGTGAGCTCCGGATTTCTGTAGCCACCAGGCCCACTGCAAGGGGGAGGGCTTGACCTCATGAGGCGGGGGCTGAAACAATCACATGGTAGCCCTCCTCCTTCTAAATCGAGCTCCTAAGGACACGAGACATCACCACTACCCCATTCTCAAAAGTACCCACATTGAGTCTAATGATCAGTTACAACAACACATTGCACTATCAAGACAGATTTTTTTTTAAAATTCTGCAATGTAACGCAATAACATCTGAGCAGCTGGTATGCAGCAGACACTGTGCTAGGTCTTTCACATGCCTAGAAAAGCAGCCATCAATCCTCATTTCATAAATGAGAACATTGAACCTCAAAGAGTTTCAGCAGTGCTTATCAGAGCTCTAAGTGGCTGAGGCGGGAGTCGCCCCAAAGGCCCCTCGGATCCACCTCCATGGCTGGCCAGGCTCCAACTAGCAAACAAAGCACATGGCTGACAGCTAGTCTGGTCACAGATGTCTTGGTCACATTACACAAATTTAAAAAAAATCAGAACCAGAAACAAAAGTTTCCTAACACAATACAGAAGCTCCCTGAAGGACACATTCACATAATCACATTGCCTGGGTGGGCCACCAGGTGAAATTACCTAGCACTTCCCCACCTGCCTTTGAATCCTGGGGAAGCTCATTCACATGTTCCTCTGGCATCAAATGAATGGCTGCTGTGCTATAAGCACTGGTCCCTCTGCTGAACCTCCTCTACCGCAAACTCAGCATGGAGGAGGAGGCCAAGGCCTGCTATGTGCCTGGATACAAAGGCCTAGCAGCTTGCATCAAGCAATGTTATTGACTTGTCATTGAATAGGAAAATTCTTTCCATATCCCATTTTATATTTCCTCACTAATCTGATGAGGAATCAGAAGGCCTGCTCTCACAGTGTGATCTTTTTTTTTTCTTTTTTAAAGACAGGGTTTCACCATGTTGGCCAGGCTGGTCTTGAACTCCTGACCTCAGGTGATCCACCTGACTCGGCCTCCCAAAGTGCTGAGATTACAGTGTGATCTTGAGCAAGGTATTCTGAGCCGCTGTTTCCATTCTAGCATCTGAAACTGGGATAATGACAGTGTCACCCATACCTGCCCCCCATCTCCACCTTATTCCTACTGTGAGGCTCAAGTGACAGTGAGACAAGACGTAAGTTAAACTCTCAGGTTAAACTGGATTCAAAAAATGATGGGGCCAGGCCCGGTGGCTCATGACTACAATCCCAGCACTTTGGGAGGCCAAGGCAGGCAGATGGACGGCTTCTTGAGTCCCAGAGTTGGAGACCAGCCTGGGCAACATAGCAAAACCACGTATCTACAAAATACAGGGAAAAAAAATTAACCAGGCATGGAGGCTTGTGCTTGTAGCCCCAGAACCAAGGAGGCTGAGATGGGAGGATCACTGGAGCCTAGGGAGGTTGAGGCAGCAGTGGGCCAGGACCATGCCACTGCAGGCAGATCCGGGCAACAAAGCAAGACTTTGTCTCAAAAAAAAAAAAGATGGATAAGTATTTAATTTCTTTGACTTTCCCTTTTCTCCTTTGCAAGATGAAGAGGTTTAAATGAATTTATGTATGAAAAGCACTGCAGAGCACCTGGTGCATGGTATGTGCTGCTATGTTTAACTATATTATTAGTAGTTTCTTAATGTGTAAGATATCTCATTAGTAGCCAACTTATAAAGTGCTGTGAAGATCAGGTACCCAAAATGATAATTGTTTTTGTCATACCATAATGAAGGTATTAGGTTGGTGCAAAAATAATTGCGGTTTTTGCCATTAAAACAGCAAAAATTGTATTTTGTAATCAACAAAATACTATACAAATATACAGTTTAACAAATAAAATAAGGTTATTATTTGACTTATTTCCATCTGCCCTGATTCAGACAGTGGAAGACTTGAGGGTTGTTGCCCAGAAATATTAAAGTTGACTTAAAACTATTAAAAACATGAACAAAATGGGAAAATTCTAAAAGCATAATATAATGACATTTTATGGCTGATTTTAATTTTAAAACGTTCAAATATGTAAAGGTCCCAGTCTCTACAGCACCAACAACCAAAGCCCTTGGCGATGCCCGGATGCAGGGTAGTGGAGGGCAGGCCGTGGCTGTAGCCTTTCTAGATCACAATGAAGTGACCACCACACATCCGCTGGGGGTCTCACTCATGGACGGTCCTGCTCCACCCAGAGGCCTTTTCATCTCAGTTTGGCTTCTGGGCCAAATTTGGAAGCATTACGTTTCATTAAGAAAATGAAAGGCTTTTGCTTTAGCTGTTCCACCAGAGGGGCTGCTTCTCCAGTTTCTTCCACTCCGACCTCAGGCGGAAAAGGATTGCCCAGTCCAGAACCGCTTTCCTCCTTCCAGGAGGTCTGGACACTCACAAAGCCCAGTTATTTGTTTTGCAAACTGTGTATACATTGAATGGAAATGTTTGTTTTCTATGTCCCGCTTTACGTCTCTAAAGACAAATGATTAAAGAATCATTTCAAGGGCATTTTTTGTTTTGCTCATCCCCTCCAACCTGCTTGTATTAAGCAGCCTCACTTCCTGCCTTTTAACTTACATTTCTGTCCACCTATCATCCACTCTTCTTTGTTGACCTTTGCGTGTACAGCATTGCTTCAAATACCTTCAAAGGAAAGGTCAAAGTGAAATGTCACAAGGGAAGTAGGCCCGATGGCCAGTGGCCAAGGAGGCACCAACGCCCAGGTCTGGGGCTGCCTGTGGCATTCATGACACTGCCCCAAAACGCAGGTGGTGGGGCAGCAGCCACCTGTGGGTCCCAAGCATGCCTCCAAGTGCGACACGCTGTCTGGGCCTCCTGGTCCCATGCCAAGTTACACCTGTGCCCTGAGAAGCCCAGTGGACTGGACCAGCGCAGGCTCCCCCAGCCCTCGGGGCAGCACCAAGATGCTTCACACAAGAGTCACTCGCTGGGTTTTCTACTCCATGCACATGCTGTTAGGAATGGCAGGTGCCACCCAAAGGGGCAGGTGCCACTGTAATTTAACGGGGGAGAAAAGGTACAGAGGCCACTCAGGAAGATGCTGGAAAGACAAAAGGTAGGGAGGTGGAAAGAAACATGCAGGACTCAGGGCACCAGGGTGAGGGACCAGAACAAAAAGGAAGAAGACCATGTGAGGGGTAGGGGAGGAAGGACTGGCCAGAATCAGCCCAAGGCAACTCTGAAATCCTGAACTTGGATTTGAAAGCACTGAATCTGAGCTGAGGGTGGCCCTGCCCCTCCGACTCCCCAAGTCACTCTCTGCCCCAGTTTGTAATCTACAAAGCGATCAGAAGCTCACAAAACATGGGCCGGAGCACTACGGTGGACTGGCGCTGGGCAGGGAGGGTGACCCTGGGAAACCTGCATGGAACTGCTCTCAGCACACCAACCACACCACCAGAAGCAGCCAACACACAACCGCAAGAGCAGACTCAACATGGTAACTAACATCTAAAGCTGCACAATTTGGTGGGGAAAAATTTCATTTGGGAGGGATAAGAGGTCCAGAAGAAACAGAGACGGAAGTTGAAAGCCATCAGATCTGCCACAGACAAGTGGCTTGTAAATACAAGAAACCTTCTTGAAAATGCAGATAGCGAATAATCTATCCTGGAGAGAATAATGTCATGAAACATGAAAAATTTAAATGGCTTATCTGTGCTCTAAAAATACAGTGATTTAAACTGAAGTTCACTCAGGACAATATTGTTATCAAAAATTCTTCAGTGATGACATACTTCTGATAAAATACTTACATTCATAAATGACAGTCAAAATGTCCTCGGATCAAAAAGCAGTCTTGTCATATGTCCTGTGTCCAGCAGAACAGATAGAACTATCTGGCAAGCAGTTGGGTATGAGAGAATCTGAAACGAGGACCTTTGATGTGGGGCTCACCCAGAGACATGTGTTGCCAGGAGTGAGATCCCTGGGAGAAAAGAAGGCAGCTGTTACCAGAACTGTGGGGAACTCCACACTCTGGGAGCCAAAAAAGGAAGTGGCATACAAATGAGGGGAGGTGCAATTCTAGAGTCCAAAGGCAGACGGACTTCTCTAAAGCCAGGGAGTGTCTGACTCCATGGGTCTGCCTTGAGGCTCACATCCTCCCCTTTCAAAGTGCTTCAGGAGCCAAAAAAGACAATGTGACTCGATGGTAGCTTAGCAGAGAGCTGTCAGATCCAATACAAGACTGCCCAGTTAAGTCTAAATTTCACGTGAACAACAAAAAAACTCATCAATGTAAGTATGCTCCAAATATATCATTATGATGCCCCAAATATATCATAATGATGTCCCAAATACTGCCAACAAATAATTTTTTAATATAAAAAGGTTATACTAAAAAAGGTATCCATTGCTGATCTATAATTCAAATTTAACTGGGCATCCAGTATTTTTATTGCTAAACCTGGTAATCCTAGTTGGTATTGACAGCTCAGGCCTGAACACCTTCCCTGCGCCCAGCACCTTTCTAGCCCCGGACCATGAGCCCTGACTCCCACAGGCTTTGCTGCACACCTAGCTACTAACAAGCAATGACTCTGTTCTTTGACAAGCTCTCTCACATGCTGTACACAAAGAAGGCCTCCTTCCACAGACCCACAAAAAGAGAGAATCTGTAAAAGAAGGGAATGGCCAACAGTATTAAATGTTTCAGAGACACCACTGGGGGTGAGGACTGAGAAGAGATCAGTAGATTGTCTATTTCAAGAGAGAGGCAATTGTGAGCTGTTTGAGTAGAACAGTAAGAGCTTAGTTTACAAAGGGATGAAGATAGATGGTAGGACTGTGACGTTCTCTCTAGCTCACTTAATCATAAAACAGGGTTCCTGGCCAACAGCCTGTGTTATCACTCTATCTGTTGCCAGGGAGCTCTGACCCATAAGGGCAAGAACGTGGGTACGTCAATGCCAGCACCTGTAGGAGCTCACCCGATACCTATGAAATAAATGAATACACAAATGGAGGAAATCTTCTCAAAAAGCCTGTTTTGAAATTTGAAATCTCATCTAAAAATTGAAAGCCAAGGTCTAGGGTAAACCATAACATTTCATAGCACTCACTGGGGCAGCTAATACTCTTTACTCTTTAACCAGTCTGTCAGCAGAGGATTATTTGCAGCACAAAATCTGTGCTGGGCCCAAACCAAAACAAATGAACAGAAACACCTGCCATTCTACCTAATGAAGCACATGTTAAGATTCACGAAACTAAAGCAGAGAAGAAGAGCTGCCACCTTCTAAACTCAAGCTGATCTTTTTCAGAATATGCACTTTTTCTGTGCCCCTCTGGGTAACCACTGCAACTGTTCTTCAGTCACAGCAGCACTTAGTCAAACATCTGAAAACATCGTGATTTTTCTTATTTATATATAAAAGTATTATTCTACCCAGTGCCAGTTTCTCTTGATCTGTGCTGGAAAAATGTCCAAGGAGATCTTATCAAAACAGTAAACTCGAAAAACAAAAAAAAAGAAGACATATAGTTTAAAAAGCCGAGTACTGGGCCAGGCCCAATGGCTCATGCTTATAATCCCAGCACTCTGGGAGGCCGAGACAGGTGGATCAGGAGGTCAGGAGATCGAAACCATCCTGGCTAATAGGGTGAAACCTCGTCTCTACTAAAAATACAAAAATTAGCCAGGCATGGTGGCGCGCGCCTGTATTCCCAGCTACTCGGGAGGCTGAAGGAGGAGAATTGCTTGAACCCGGGAGGCAGAGGTTGCAGTGAGCCAAGATCACGCCACTGCCTCCAGCCTGGGCAACAGAGCAAGACTCCATCTCAAAAAAAAAAAAAAATCCAAGTACTGTATACTGCTTCTAATTTATGATAAATCCCCAGTGTATTCTGAATTTTTAAAAAGAAACTTTACTTGTTTTGCTTCTGTAAACTTTCTGTTGTGCTAAAGAACCCAACTAGAATTTACAAACAAATAGGAGTCTGAATAAAAGGTGTATTTAGGTTTTGGATATGCTATTAAATATTACCTGTCATAAAACAAACGTGCCATACTTCTGCCCCTGAATCCCCTAAAATACCTACTTCTAAGTATTTTATGACACAATTAAGAGTTAGCCTAAAAGTAGGTTTATGCACAAACTAAACCAAAGGTTTTTCATACCAATGTCTAAAAAGTCTAGATTCCAAATGTGGTCTATGTTTTCAACATGGTACAAATCTTTCCAAAGCTGGCCCAAAGAAACAGATTTCTGTCCCTGCTTCAGGGACATGACTGCCCACTGTGGTCATTTGCCCCTGCCTTTCAACTTCTGGAAGGGCATACAGAGCTCCCCATTCAGAGCTGAAAATACATTTTGTATTAATTTCCACCAAATATCATTAATGTTTAACGTTGCCTAGTGCTCACATGAACAAGAACATGAACTCCTGGCACTGGCGGAATTCTCAAGAAATTTAGGCCAGGTGCGGTAGCTCATGCCTATAATCCCAGCACTCTGGGAAGCTTAGATAGGAGGATCCCTTGAGGCCAGGAATTTGAGACTAGCTTGGAAAACACAGCAAGGCAGTCTCTACAAAAACTATTTAAAAAAATTAACCAGGTGTGGTGGTATGCACCTGCAGTCCCATTTATTCAGGAGGCTGAGGCAGGAGGACTGCTTTAGCCCGGGATGTGAAGGCTGCAGGGAGCTGTGCTTACGCCATGCACTTCAGCCTGGGCGTCAGTATGGGATCCTGTCTCTAAAAAAAAAGTTAAGAAAACAAAAGAAATTTAAAGCTTTCTGAAGATAGGAAGAACCATACAAACTATATGCAGATAAGACTAAACAAGTTTCTAACAGCAGAGAACTAGGTAATGCAACCGACATGGTGTTCAAAGCGGGCATCAGTTACTTGCACCGTATCACTGTTTCTTAGGGTCATGCATTCTCCCTACGTTCTAAAGGCTGACACCAACAGTACCAACTTCAAATCAAACCTATACTTGGTGGAGCTGCAGAAAGTGAGAGAAGAAGGCGACAGGATGTCCGGGCCATCCCAATGGTCACCTTGGTGTGTCCATTTGCTGAGGAGAAGCCCTGTTCCATGAATGCCCTGTGGGCTTCCAGGACAGCAGATGCACCATCTCTAGCTAAATGAAAGAATGAGGAGGGAAAAAGAAGAAAACTGGTATCTGCTGTCCAACTGATAAATGTACTGCTCTATACTGAGAACTGGCTAGACACTGCCTCGGTTCTCAGACACCCTGGAAGTGGCACTTGATGAGTGGGCACAGGAAGGCCTGGAGCTGGCTCCTACAGCCAGTCAGCACCAGAGACAAGCCTAGAACCCAGGTCTGTCTAGCGCCAACCCCTCTGCTCCTCTCACCTCCAATTCAGGTAGTTCTGGGTCAGAGGGGCCCTGGCCCTAGTCTGTCACCTCTATTGCTGGTTTTCTTTTTTTAATCATCAGATTTAAATGCCAATGCAGAACTTACAAACTGCTTTACACAGAGCGATACACAAGGTCAATTCTAAATTTCAAATGAAATTTGGCGTAAGGTAGTTAGTTGTCTTTTACTGTAGCCTGAATCGGCAAAAGGTACAATGAACTCGATGGTCAGATGGGGCAGGGGCTTCCTCTCCCTGCACCTTGGCAGCCACCTTCTCTCCCAGCCACTCTGTTGCCAGGGACGTCTTGGGCTTTCCTCCATACCTCAAGCTGGTGGCTGGGCTGGCACCCAGCTCTGACTGTGAACTCCCACCCAACTGGGTCAGGGTTAGCCAGAGCCGGGCGCCAGATTCAGCAGGCTCCCACAGTTGGAGCCAAATGCACAAATCAGCTCCAAGCACCTCGTTGCTGGAGAGAGGGGGGTTGATGAGGCTGTGGAGGAAGCTGGGTGCCCAGTGCAGGAGAAATGTCACTAACTGAAGGGTAGCAGTGTCTCCTGGGGTGTGGCTCTGGGAAGTCCCGAGTAAAGGGGAGCAGGTAGAAAACACACTGGAGAGAGCAGGGAAATCTGAAATTTGGCTCCGAGAGGGTTGTGTCCATCCTGGGGCTGCAACTTGCTTGACAATAACCTGCAGAAGGCAAACCAGACAGCTCTGATGGGCCTCTTGGCCACCAAGTTGTCCTGCTCCTCACTGAAATGTCGCATAGCCTGTATTTGGAGAGCCAAGATCACAAGAAATAATATCTTGACCAACCTTAGTCACCTCTGGCAGAGTGGTTCTGTCTTTGGAGGAGCTTGCAAAGCAGGCTTTGTGGGCCAGCATGTCCCATTATAGCATTTGCAAAAGATCTGTGATCGCCCCATGCACCACTAGTGCCCGCATGCTGGGCAACCACAGAGAACCACGTTCTTCTGGAGCCCGCGACCCTCTCTTCCTCCACTCCCTCTGCATGTCACCAGCTATGGAAAGTCCTGTTTGCTTTTCATTTATTCTAAAACATTTGCAAGCTCTGACAAGGAACATGCACTGACTTCCAGAGCTGATCACAAAGTCTGTGGTTCTCCTCGCTGTGGCCCATGGCCATTTGAGACTAATGGCATCTCTTACCCTCACCTTTGGGATCTTTTAGTCAACCCTCTTAGGAAGTCCCTGCCATTCCCAAACAAAAGCCAAAGCTGCTTTGGGGCTGGCAAATGAGATGTTCCCTCTTCTGTAGCACAACCCTTATCAGATTTCTGTCCAGAGAGCAGATATTTAAGACATCTGAACTTGGGCTGCACAAACGAAGTCTTTTTTGCAAATCAAACTCTTTGCCATCCTTTGTCCTACTGTGAACCTTACATGAACTCAGTGGCACAGCTAAATGTGCTCTGTTCAATCCAAGGGCGTGTTATTTTAATACACACACATCTGCAAGTGTAAATAAGAATATCCTGTCATCGGCAGGATCACATCTGCTAAGGCAAACCTAAAGGACCTTGGGCAAATATTGTGAGGCCCAGGAAAGGTGCCAGGTGTCCACTGTCCATCCCCAGCT